CAGTTGCAAGCTACACCAACAGTGTGGACTGCTGTCTTCATGACTCTTGCCAAGCTAGAATCGTAGGTGGATAAATTAATCCATAATCCTCTCTCACCAATAGTCTTTTTTTTTTTTTTTTTTTTGGTACTGGGGATTGAACTCAGGACCTTGAGCTTGCAAGGCAGGCATCACTGAGCTAAATCCCCGGTCCTAAAAGTCTTTCTTTATTAGCCAGTCCCTTGATTCTTATAAAATTTTTTAGATTAGATTCCAGAGTTCAAAAAAGTTGAATCTAACATTTTTATCGGCTTGACCATTACTTTAGTTGAAGGACAGAGTTGGAGAATATCCTCCCTCACTGCTCTTAGTGATGACTCTCCTCTAATTCCTTATTAATGCTTTAAAAAGTCTACCTGACTGTTGTGTGAGCTCCAAGAGAACAAGGAGCTTCATAGCTTTTGTTGACTCACATATTCAGCACCTAGAGTCTTCATGGTATAAAGTCTGTGCTCAGTAAACATTGCTGAGGCAAATGAATGAAGGAATGAACATAGAAGAATACAAAGAAATAAGAATAGAAATGAGATATTTTTCCTAGGCTTATAGGAAAATACACATAAATCTGGCAGAGAGTGAATTATAAGTGATTTTAAAATTATAATTTGCTAATATCATTTATATCCTGCAAGAGAGGAAAATAATTTTAATTGCTAGAGAGCTTTGGATAGAGAAATTTCAGGACTCTGGAACAGTGATTGTCAACCAAGGGTCATTCCACCAACATCACACATGCATGCACACGTACACACCAGGGAACATTTGGCAGTGTCTGAAGATTCATAATCTAGAGGAGTGGGACATGTGCCTAAACATCCCATGGTGCACAGGATACTGTACTGCATTAGAAAGACTGTAGGAAGAAATAAATAAAATATATCATCCCAAATCTCCTTGCATATAAAGTTGACAAATAGCAATGTACTTTTTCATCTACATTAATTAAAAATAAATAAAAATATCTCATACCCCAAACCTCCTGAAGTGTAAATTTAGACATAAATTGTAAGCTTCATTAAAATTTTATTTCAAGTATGATTTTAGATTGATATTTAAATATGCTAATGTTTTAGAAATGTTTAATTACTGAAAATAAAATAACAAAGTCGTAGTCTGAAGTTCTGGTTCAGAAAGATAATGGAAATAGCGAGAAGTAATTTATCCATTGTCTTAATCTCTACTTACACTGGCTGGTTGTTTATATGTGGAATAAGAATAAACAGAAGAAATGATTATCTCAACAGCTGAATTAAATAAACTGTACTAAGGAAACACAGATGAAAGATAATAACAGTTTGCTTTCAACTGGTATGAAGTTGAAGTGGATCAGATGTGAGAATTATAGGGACGGTGAGGAAGGAAAGGGAAAATAGTAAGTGCAAAGCATGTTAATGTTGGGGGTATTTTCTGAGGTCATATTTACTATTTATAGCTCATCTTGTTCAAGATTTATTTTTGTTGACAGTGCTTACCATTCTGAGCTTTGTCAAAGGCCCATGAAATCATCTCTTTATTCATAAATAGTATAACCAATTAATGTTAGACTTCTTTCACATGCATAGAGGAAGGCAAGTAATTTAAAACAATTATGCATAGCAGATTTGTAGAACTTTGAGGCCAGACAGGAGGTGTGTCCTCACCATCCTAGTGCTTGTTGGAAACACACTGTTGGATGGCAACCAGGTGAAAGAAGTTTGACCCTTGAAAGGCTAAAGAGATGGGAGGCAAAGGAAAGGATTTTGAAAATCCTGGCCAAGAACTTGACAACCTCTAAGATCAAAGGAATGTTCTAGGTGGTATGCGCACTAGCACGTTAATAGATTCTTCACCACTTCCTTGGCCTCCTGCTTGTGTTTGCCAGGATTTGACTCTGTCCTTCAACAAAACAGACCATGCAGGCTTTTTGGAGACTGTAAGCCCTGGTTGAAGTGTACTCTTAGCTAATTCAAACCACAAAACAATTATTTTCACAGATTTATGCTCATACTTAAATATGATACTCTCCAGGGCATAAAATAGCTAAAGGTTATTGAACATGTGAAGTGTACTCGTTGTCATACGGGGCACTTAAAAACATCAACTTGTGGGCCAGGGATTTAGTGCAGTGACACTGTGCCTGCCTCACAAGAGCAAGGTTCTGAATTCAATCCCTGGTACCAAAAACAAAAAACATTAACTTGTTTGTGCTTTAGTGTAACCCAGTGACTTTGGTATTATGTATCTCCATTTTCAGCAATGACAATGTGGATATAAAAAGGTTGCTAACTTACCTAGATTCACATAGAATTAAATTTATGTCTGTATGACTTTATTGATCACATTTTCTTTTTGAAATTGAGTTATCAGGTGCCTCCTATGTTTATCTTAATTAGTTATTCATAAATAATTATATACATTAATATTTTCTTTGAGCCTTTATCAATGCTCAAATTTACATCAACAACATGTATTGTATTGAGTATCTCACTTGTAGAAGGTGCCATGCTGTGTGGTGAAGATTATATACAGTATGAACATGGGTCTTGCTTAAATAACTTATAACCAAGTAGTCTGTGGAGCAAGTAGATTTCCGAACTTGGAAGAAATGTAGTGAAAGTGTGACTAACCACAGTCTTAGTGTTGTGCACCCCTTTTTGCAGTTCACTAATTCATTCACTGTAACTTTCCTTATTAAAAGTGCCTTGTCCTAAAAAATAAAATAAAAATGCCTTGTCCTAAGGTGTTTCTATGCTAGGAGATCCTTAATATTTGTAGAAGATGAAAATAATAATGTGTTTACTCCTAACTACTTTAACCTGCTTGTTGAGGTTGAGGTAGTCACTGCAGTGGCTTAACAGTGGAAGTAAAAATGTTTTTGAGTACAAATATAGGTGTTTTATATAATAGCAATATACTTTGAGGTTTGGTTTTTAGAAAGATATATATGTATATATTTATATTTCCTTAAGATATCAACTTATTAACTTATTTTTCTCAGTTTTTCTTTCACATGTCAACATGTCTATTTTAGAAGACTTTGAAGATACAGATAACCTTTAATATTTGCTTAGCCAATGATTAGCAAAAGAAATACCGTGAAGCAGCAGAGGGGGAGGTTTGAGAAGGAAGGGTGTTCACAGGAAGAAAGACTCGACCAAGACAAGAAGAGAGAAGGAGGCTTGAAGAAGGCAGGTCCCATGGTGTCACCAGGAATACCTAATGACTTTCAATGTCAATCAAATCTTGTTCTAACATGGTTTCTGAAAAGCAAAGCACCTTTAAGTTGGTAAAGAATCGTACTATTGAAAGTGCTCCATATATAGTTTTCTGCAAGTCACAAATTTTTCTGAATTTACTTCAGACATATTGTTTGATGATAGTTACAAGCCCTGAAACTAGGCAAGAAAGTAAGAGGCTGAAAAACTGTAGAGGCAGGTTCTCTAGGGCTTCATGTACTTGTTCTCTAAGCATTTAATGAATACTTATCTTATTGTGGGCACTGTACTTGTCTCTGGGGATAGAGATAAATAAGAAACAGTTCCTGTACTCAAAGGATTTATTCTGTTCACAGAGAGAGAAACAAAAACTGATTATAGGACAGTAAGATAAAAGCAGGAAAGTAGCATGTATTAAGTACTGACTTTGGGTCAAGTATTTTGCTATAGTACGTGTTTCCTTAGTTAATTGTCACCATCCCATGCTATTGTCACCCCTTTATAGATGAAGGCAGGTCTGTTCTTAACCTTTACAGGACTCCAAGGCAGTAGTACGAATGGGGTCTACCTATCATAAGTCTAAATATTTAAATGTTACAAACCAGACTAATAAAACGTTTACTCTGTTTCCTTGCCTTGACACATATACCTTCATAACAAGCTAAAAGACCGGGCTCAAATTCAGAATTCTTAAGCTTCTCAGCAGTCCCTAGCCTGTACCGTCCCTACCCCCTTCTCATCTCTACAGTTTCATGTTTCCACAGATAGCCCCTTTGGCTACCTCCGTGTCCTGGAGCATACACAGTCAGGACAGCCTCTCCACCAGAGAAAATATGCAAGCCTCAGAAGCTGGCTCCGGGGTCTTTGGGCTGGGAGTTTGGGAGTCGTGGATACCTGGGGTGTGATCTGTAAGTAGAGACATGGGCAGGGCCGAGAGGAGTACTAACAGGAGTGCCAGAGCAGGGACCTCAGCCCAAGCCAATCCTCCTTAGTCTAAGAGTAGTTTTAGATGAGGGAACACATTAACCTCCCTGAGTGTCTACAGACAGAAAGTGGTAGAACCAGAATTGGGCAGCATTTTCTAGATGCACTGAAGAGTACCTCCACCAGGGCAAGTCAGCTGACACAAGACTACTCATTGATGAATCTCCCAGGATGAGGGGTAGGGGACCATCGGGGAGATCTTTCCAGTTAAGCATTATTTATACTTTGAAGGAATGATTCAGGGATAGAGCTGGAAATGGGGGAGAACCTTTAATCTGTACCCAGAGACTGAAGGGATGGAGATCGATTTGGGTGGACAGAATCGTATTTGTGATGTAGAGAAAAGGAATGAAGCTGTTGACATTAGGTTGAAGAATTAAGTACTTGCTATCCTACAAGGACCAGAAAGGAACGTAATGCATTTAGGTATCAGGACTGAGAGAGCTAAAGAAAAAAATATTTCAAAGTTTTCTTCCCTAAAGGACAAAGGAGGTAGTGAGTCCTTTATAGAAAGAGTGTCCTGAAGCAGGCTTTGGATACAGGGCTTTTAGCTTGGATTTTAGGTGAATGATGAAAATACTGGTGGAAGGAAAAGGAAAACAAGGATGACAGAATCTTCATTCATAGCTATATTTAAAGATTGGGCAGAAGAACTAATTAGGCAAAATAAAACGGAACCGCAGATATTTCTGGGCTACAAAGAAGGTGATCTGCATAGGGACATCAGGGTCATGGTAGGGTCAAGTTTGAGAAGGAACTTTCAGTTGCTGTGAGGCCATTAACTACAACACATGAAGAGAGGAGACCCCTGGATTTATTGACCACAAGTTAGGACCATAGGGATAAAAACAAGTTTACACGTGTTTGAGGGTTATGAAGATGGAAGGGTAGTAAATATAGATAGTTTAAAAAAAAATAAGCTTGGCTTTGAAGGAGGGAAAGAGATTATACATTTGCTTGATTGAAAAGTAGATTCTAGGAAGAAAACAGACTTTTCATAATGATGACATATGAGAATATTTATAATATCCTTGCCTGAATGACCGTGCCTCTAGGCCTCCATTTGTAGGAAGAAAGGGCAGATCCCTTCCCTCTCCACTGTAAGACAGGCTATGTTTAGTGCACATTTTCCTGTCCCTGATGATGACCACATGAAGCCCAGAGCTTTCAGGCCACCCCTTACCAGATGATCTTCACCTCCAAACTTTCCAAGGCTCTTTTATCAGAAAGGCCTCCTCTTCCCTTCCCCACCTTGGACCTCCCATCTTCCCTCTTCCCTCCATTACTTTCCCCTATAGCTCTTAGTGCTTGCCTGACATGCATTCACTTCTTGTGATTTTTCTTTCTGCAATAAAAGGACAGCTCCAGTCCTTATAATAAGGACACTCAGTAGGGACTCGATGCATATTTTACTGAATGATGTATGTGGGTGGGATAATTGGTTCCAGAGCAGAGATTTACAAACTTTTTTTCTATAAACAGCCAGATGGTAAATGTTTTAAGTTTTGCTGGTCAGAAACAGTCTCCATTCCATATCATTTGTTGTTTTTAAAACTATAAAAGCCATTCTTAGCTCATAGGACAGACAAATGACCTTAGTTGCCAATTGGTGTGAACATTAAGAAAGCAGGATTCAGAGCACAGGTGAAGATATTATCTCAAAAAAGCAAAGGGTATTTCCTCCTCTAATGCTGAGAGTGAGGAAAAAGTGAAATATAAAGGATAATTGGGAAGAGTTCGTGTCAGTAGCATCAGCCTTCCAATATGAGGGAAGTAAGGTTTATAAGTGCATGGTAAGCGCTTGAATGTTTTAAAAGGATAGAGTGGCCAATCAAGAAGATTAATAAGCCAAAGGATTTAGCCAGAGTTGGACAGTATAAATCTATGCAGTTTTCTGTAAGATTGGGGGAAAATGGGAAAAGGAAGGTCCTGAGAATTGTAGCTTGCAAATCTTAAAAGTGATCTGCGCAAATTTCTGAAGCTGGTTGGCCTGGAAAACTCATTCAATACAATAACTGAATTTCCTCATACTACTCTTTTATAAAATCAATTCTAGAAACAAGAAAGAAGTGTGAACTAGCTTGTGAGCAACCAGCATTTATTACAGGCCCAAGGTATTTACTAATGGCTAAGCTACGGCCATTATCTCAGTTTTCTTGTGTAGTTTCTATCATTAGCTCTGATTTACAGATAAGGGAACTGAAGCTTAGGGAAGTTAAGAAACTTACCCAGAGGTACACAGAACTCTTCAGTGACATAGCCTGATGGAGCCAACCAAGCCTGGCCAGCTCCCATTCGTGCTCTTCACTTACTGCAGTAGCTTGCTGATTAATGAGCTGATGTAACATGAAAGGAAGTTTCTAGTGACAGTTACTATCTGTCTTGTTTAGCATTGTTATATTACCTTAGATGAGAACATAGATAATGTACATATCAAATTTTCCAGTAATGTGGAACCAACAAGAATATGGAACACATTAGATAACAGAATGAGAGCTCAGAATTATCTCCAGTTGGAATGGTTGATTAAATAAGCAATGTGACAGAGATAAGAATATAATCCTTTACTTAGGTCCAGAAACAGTGGCTCAAATGCACTGTCTTGACTGTAGAGTGTGTAGGAGGGAAAATACTTAGAGGTTTTACTCATCTAGTTTAAGGGCTGTGGTGAACTGTAGTTTGTCCACAGCAAAATAAAGTAGGGAAGCTATTTAAGCCCATTTCTTGGAGGACAATTAGAGAAACTCATAGACACTTAAAGCAACAACAACAACAAAAAACCCTGATGACAGTGGAGCTAGGGAGAGAACAAACATTTCTGAAACTTTTTATATACTGCAGTTGATACGTTAGACTTTTTCTTTGTGACTTTTTGGGGGTCAGAACTAGGAATAAGAAATGGGCATCACAGGAAACCAGTATTTGACTCAATATAAGAAATAAATCTCCCCAAATTAAATCTTGTCCCCATTGTATTGTTCAGTGGAAATTAATGCATCCTCTACGTTTGGATGTTTTAAGCAGAAAGTCGACTGTCACTTCTTAGAACTTACTCTAGATGACCTGCCAGCACCGAGCTTTCCCCTCTGAACATGTTGGATGAGTAGAGCACTTCTGTCCTATATTTCCAGAAAGGAAACTTCTCTCCTTTCTCCTGTACTGTGTTTGCAAGCTGATTTAGTGCACCATTAGGTACACAGCAGTATTTATTAAAGAAACTCTGTTTTGAACCTAGGAGGTACATTTTCACTTAGAATATGACAAGATGTTTAGCACAGTAAGTTAAGCTTTGTGTATTTCTTTGAAAAGGATGTTTACTTTCCTTGTGTATAATTCTTGCCAAAGATTATAGTATTGACTTTGTACCATATTTCTGCCCATATTTCTTCTAAACCACATTCATTAAATAATTTTTAGCCGGTTAATTAAATATTCATAGAGTTTTCTGTAAAGTGACGTTTTCAAAGAAGTGCCTTGAAAAGCTCACTAATCCTTTAAGCAGGTTGGATTCTTATAAACAGAATGAAGTTGTTCCCAAAGGGGCACTATCTATTAACTTTTTGTGGTACCATTATCGTTAGTTTTTAAGTTTAAATCTCTGATCTGTGTCCTCCTGGTGTGTGTACATTCAGTATGCATGTGTGTGTGTGTGTGTGTGTGTGTGTGTGTGTACATGTTCAGTTTTAATGGCACTATATTATCAATAGAAAATTTACTGGATATACATTTGAATTTCTAGTTTCCTTTTCTAGAGGTATTTAAGAACTTATCATTTAGCATTACTAAGTTTTTCTGATATTTACAAACAAAATTAAAGCAAAAAATAGGGTCTAGCCATTGTCAATTATTAAAGTTTATCTAACAAGCAGAATTATGCTACTCATTGAACAGAAACTTTTTTAATCTTTTAGGTGTAATCCCTTTTCATGGATTTTCAATGTATGGTAAGTGGGCTTTAAAATATTCATTTTATGAAATTTAAACATTAAAACACTATATATCACATCACCCACACACTTAGCAAATTATTATGAACACTTTTAAGCATTAAGTTTAGAATCTCTTCATTATTAAATTGAAAATAAGCGATCACCATAATTATTTAGGTGTTGATTGCTTGGCAGATTTGATTTAGAACATACTATGAAAATCGTTCTGAGGTTTACCATCTTCTAATTCAATCCAGTAGAGAGACACATTAATATTTAGCTGTAGTGGGGGTTAAACTAGAGTGCTTAAATCCCTGAATTAATTCTTATATGAATTTTTAAAAAATAACAATAAGTCAGAAAGAGCCTGAAAAGGAGGACAACACTGAGCTTGAGCACATGATGTCTCCAGACTCCTGCGTGCACAACAGCAGTTACGTTAGAGCATTCCCTTGTCCTCAGAAAACACACGTGCAGGCCTGAGAGCGCTGAGTGCCTTTCTCTCTTCACACTGCCACTGAATGAGGAGGGGGGAGGCTTAACAAAGATTAGCAGAGGAAAGCTCCGTGCCTTAAAGTCACATAATTTTTCCGTTTTTACGTATTATAAATAAACTTGTTACTGTTCTTCTCTTTATTTCTACCTCTTACCTTTAGAATAAAAAGAAACACTTCAATGTTTTACCTTTGTAAAAAACATAAGCAAGAAATTAATGCTTTATTTGTACAAAGTATCTTCATGCTGACATCAGACAGTCGTGGTCGATGGCATAAAACTTAAACTAAGCATACAGTGAAAAGGATGCAGGGTACCTAGGGACTTTAGATTATGATATCTTGACAATGTTGCTTACAACCTTTAATTATAACATACTATCCTAATTCTCTTGATAAAATTTTCATAATATTTAATATAATACTTGTAGGGCTGGGGATTTAGCTCAGCGGTTTGGTGGCCTGCCTTGCAAGTGCAAAGACCCGCGTTCAATCCCTGGTACCAAAAAAA